CTAATGAAAAAAAAAGGAAAAAAAAAAGAAAGAAAGAAAACAATAAGGGTAGGAGACAGTACCCTGTGTACAGAAACAACATAATAAACGCTTGTTGTTCTACCTTACTTCGCAAGGCGCTTAATGCGAGATCGCGTGCTCAGTGACCTGGCACTCGGATTATACGGCGATTTTACTCTTTTAGCCATTCCAGAACTAGAATTACATCCGGTACCCGTCGGGCTAATCGTAGAGCAGGTCCCGTTCCCAGTATTGCTACTGTTCTGTTTAATACTGGTCGACAAGGATGACGATCTAACTCTACTAGACTGCAGGAATCCATTACCACTAGACTGCTTCAGTTTACTCGGCAAAGAGAGTCGGTTTTGTTGTTTCACTAGACTGTACTGATGTATGTCTACATTACGCGAGCGTAATGTTTTTACAGGTGTAGCGGCGATAGTGTCTGACCTAAAAGAATACGTAAAACGTTTAAACGTAAGCTAGAATTCCCTTCGCGTGTGGGATCTATGTTATCAATTCTGGTTGATAAATACCTGAGCCAACGTTGCGGCACGGTTGTGCTATCCGATGAACCTATAATAGACATTGTTCGATTTATTCTCCTCTCACTGCAACCGTTTGACCGGTTATTCCTTCCCTGGTCCCACTCGCGTGCACCGAGACTAGCAGCCCACAATTGCTTCAACAGGCCTTTGATAGATGATGGTCTTCGGATAGACTTGACCGGCGTAACCTTTTTACCCAGGTTTCTTTGGAAGGTATTTAAAGGAGACAATCTGTCCTGTATAGGTACAGTAGTGGCATTCCCCGGGGAACGGGAAATGTTAGACTCGGCGTTAGGCCAATTCAGACTACCAGCGGCATCCTTGGTGGTCTGGTTCGCCGGGTCGTTTTCGTCAACAGGGTTCGGTCTGTCCTCTGATCGCGTTCTTCTCTTAATACAAGGTTCCTGTAATATGCATGCCTCTTCCACTGTATTAACTACACTTTGCGATATTGCACTATGTCTTCGTTTAGTTGCGATAGCACTACCAGTTGTTTTACTTGTAGAGTTTCTAACACCTTCTTCCACTGTGTTCCCAGTTACAGACACTTTTGTACTACGCGGTTTAAACCTCGAATTCACGTATGTTTTAGTCTCCACAGAGGTTGTCTCCACTAGAGTGTTCCGTGAGTGTGCATTTAAACTGTGCCTTCTCCTCCTTCTAGCGACTTCCGTTCTCGAGCTGGAGAACAAGGCCTGCTGCTTATGACGCGAACCGTTTAAAATGTTACCCGTTACTTTATTTTCGTCGGTGGTTGCGCTCTCCGCCGCAACCCCGTTGCTCTTCTCCGTGGTACCACCGCTGTTAGCGGGAGAACATACGTCGTCACCCTCACCAGAAAATGCACTTTGGTGTATCACATTTGAGTCATCAGCCTGGTTGTTTTCTGTGTTCTCTTCTGCGGTAGGCGTCTGCGACTTCGAGACGTCCTGTTGAAGCGGCGGATCGGCTGCTTCCGGTTGTTTCTCTGTCGCGTTTGTATGTTCTTCGTCTGGCTTGTCGATTTTCTCCGGAGGAGTTGGTTCTATTTCTTTATTACCTACGTTTAGATTCTTTTCTACTATTTCATGGGATATCGTTTCTGTGACTTTAACGCTTTCTTCTATGACCATGTCCTCGACACCTGTGTGCGTTGTCTCATCCAACTGATGACTCGTTTCAAGGGTCTCTTCGATCCTCTCCTCGGGCAGAACCTTTTCTGTTCTTGGTCCCTCTCTGTTTTCCTCGATTCTGTTAAAGAACTCTGGTTTCTGTACATTGATATTATGGTTTGCCATTAAAGGAGGCCTTGGTACGCTTAGAGATCCAGGATTATAAGCAGGTTTGTCCAAATTTTCGGTAGAGAGTGCAGTTGGAGGTGTGTGTACACTGTGATGAGCCATAACACATTCTTTCTGGCTCAACAACACCTTTACAAACAATGAAATTTATTTGTTAAAGTAAGTCTAAATTTCTTCATTTTATAATTGTTCAGAGAAACTAATTAAAACACAAACCTCGCTTCGGGATGGTCCTGGGGGATCTAACATCAATGTTACAACGCTAGTATTATCAGCACGCAATCTCCTAAGTGACCACCTTTCTAATGCTTTATCCACTAGACTTTTTGAAGGATTAATCCATAGTTGAACATTATCAGATTGCTGTAGGGAACAATAGTGAATGTATTGTAATATGTTAATGGTATACATTACATCTAATAATATTAGAAATTTGTTGAATCGTACCCCATTACACATTTGCTGGGAAGCAATAAGATGTTTTTCATTGTGCCTATCTGCAGCCTGAACAATAGCTACTGCTGCTTGCGGTGTTAACATGTTCCACAACCCATCTGTTCCAAATATAAGGCAACGGTGTGATTCAACGTCAATTGCAACAACTTTAACATCCGGTTCAGGCGACACAACAAATGTATCTAATTCAGAATTATAGCTCCAAAGGTCACCTATAATATACAAAACATCCAATGAGTCCAGAACCTCTACAGAACTGAGAGTTTTATCTTATCGTTACAAAAACATACCTAAAGACCTAGCAACAGCAAGAAACGGTATTTCATCAATGTGAGTCGACCTCCGAACTGGCCCTTTGTGTCCTATACGAGGTCTGTTCCACACAACTCTTGGAACACCGGATTTGCTGACTACTTTCCCACCGGACTCTCGTATCCTCATCATCTCGGGTCCACTCTCAGGCTTGTGATCTTTGGTCAATGCCTTAGCTCGCCACTGCGGATCACCACCCACTTGATACCCCAATATTATTGCAGAATCACCGACATGGCCGATATAAATCTTTCCCTTGCGAATGAACGCTATGCTAGCGGTGGTCCCAGCCGTAGATGGTAATCCAGATGCGGTTCTTGGCCATTTGTCTGTCGCAAAAGTAGATTCCCGTGAATAAATACTCCCATCGAGGATACTCTCCAAGAATCATCTCCACGGTGTGTCCAGTCACGCGAACGTTACATCGAGACCAGAATAACCATGTACACAACATCTTTTCTTTCAACTACTTTTTCATCAAATTCGATCTTTCAGGTTAGTTCAGATTACATAACCTAAATTCTAACCTAATCAGGCGCAGGTGGTGGGGGAAATACGCGGGACAATGACAGAAATTCCGGAGGAAATCATCGACACGGCACATTTCTCGGCGGATAAGTCCGTAACGAGTCCGGGGCCGAGAGGAATCCCATGGTACAAGGAAAAAACTGAACAGGAAGTAGCAAGCGGGGTCCTCTTACCAAGCTCCCGCCACATCGCGTAGTGCGTGTTCACGTATCCGTCCCGGATCGCGCGTAGCACGTCCTCGTCGCGGTCCGACCAGAAGTTCTTTTGCTTGACGATCACGTTCATCAGATGCTCTTTCGCGAATGTGGCCGCCTCGCCGCCCCCGTGGCCGTCGAATATCCCGAAGAACGCGTACTCCAGGTCTTTGTCATCCGTCGTAGACTGAAAGGCCACGCTGAACATGTCCTCCATGTACTTACGACCGCCCTGATTACAGTGTCCGGTCACTCTTAGGTTAACCCCAATACTCAACGGCATGATGGAATCACGCCGGTGACACGGGTACGCGGCAACTGAACCGAGAGTCTCTGCTTCTTAGTTTGCAACGCAATGGCCCGACACGTACACCGGAACGGAAGCCTCGTATTTACTGGGCAAGTCCGCCGCGCTAAGCTCGAGGGACGCACACACACTTGGAACGATCATGGCCCCACACACCACAATGACGTTGGCTACGCGCAACGGAGCAGGGCAGGAGGGGACGTCCCCTCTATGATTTCACCGTCACCACGAGCCCCGGGTACCCACGTTCGAGCAGCGTTTCTCGAGAATCTTCAAACGGAAGATTTTCGAGCTAGCGGGTAAGGCCTCCTTCACACCACTGCGTTTTTCCTCGGCCCAACCTGGCCGGCCCGTTAAGGCCCCGGTCACACGGGCGTTCAGGCGACGTGATAGCCTAACTTGTCGACAGATTCGTATCCTTTCGGACCCAAAATTTTCATACGATCACAAAATGCTATTCATTTATTTTATCTTATTTATTTATTTACTTTTTTTTATCTTTTTTCTTTCTTTTTTTACTTTTTACAGAGGCTGCAGTCGTGACAGGATTGTATTTCATTTTTAGATAGACACGTTTACAAGTGAGCCGAGCAGACCGGAGTTTTATGCCTTTATTCAGTGTTTCTATTTCGGACAAAATGGCGTGCGTTTAACGAACGTCAACGAGGATTTCGATTAAGTACGAGTGAGAAATGTTGTTCGTCGAGGAAAGGTACTTTTTCATTTAATACGGGATCGCGGGTTGCAGTGGATTTGAATTTTTCTAGAACTCGAACGAGAATTTTCACGTTTATGCGGGAATATTATTTGTTTGTGTTTGAATAAATTTCGTTGCTCGTATAAATCGCCCGCCGTACTAATTACGAACGAGGCTCCGTCGCGAACGACTTTGAAAGTGTTTTGGAGTTTCTTTTCTCGACGAGTTAGGTTTCGGGAGCATTTCGCTACCGAGGAAAGGGGAATTGAGGGAAAATTCAATTTTTCTGCCGGGGCCGAGAATCGGCGCGCCATTGCAATTATCGGACAACTTCAAATTATATATACATACATATATATTATATTATAAAATGGCGGCTTCTTTAATAGCGCATTAAATTTGAAATGAATCTAATAATTCATTCGAATTTTTTAGATCACTGTCGCTTCGATTCTTTTATTCTGGGATAGGTTTTATTATACAACATAGTTATTATAATAATGATTTATTGAAATTCTTTCAAATCACTTTTCATACAGAAGTATAATGACTTTCATTAAAATTCTTACTGTTACTTTTCAATATTAAGATACTCAATATTATAACAATATTTGTAAACAGAAAGTGGAATGTACTTAAGGTCGAACTTAACGTGGGAAAATGTCACCGTTAGAGGGACTATTTACATTGGCTTCCAGACTATAAGCTAATAAAGTAATAAACGGTCCAACCAAGACAATCGGATAGCAGAGGTGCTTAATAATTTTTTAAATCGTTTTTACAACCTCCGTGCACCGGTTAAGTCTTGGTTCATAATAGCCGGGTTCGTAGAGGCCAATGGAAGACTTGTTCGGACATGCCGATGATTCATCGGATCAGACGTCTCAGTCAGCAGTGGGACATCGATGGACGAGCACGTGTGGTTGTAAGATTTTATTGTTTGCCCAAGTAGATCACGGATGTTTACGCAAATTCGTATTTCCATCGAGCAGCTTATACATGGCACCAGTCTGAAATCGTGTTTTCCATTTTCGTGCATTCGTCAGTCATCGAGAACCATAGTCCACCCCGTTATTTATATTACAACAATCATTGTGATATATTCCTTTAATTTCAAAGACAAAAAACAAACTCGCAAATACTTTAAACACAGTTCATCGCGAAACGGTAACAATATTCCACGGTGAAAAAGAATTCTAAAAGTCATCGTGTACAAGAAACAAGATTGTTCCAAACTCGTGAAAATCTTATTTCTAAAACCTCAACAATATTCCTAAAAATCAATAATACTCCAGTTAAATTTCCAACATTCGTTTAACAATTGGTGTCATATTTTCCTACATTCAGAACATTTGAACCACCCACGGGAGAACCCCATAGATTACCAAAGTGGCTTAGTAACATTGTGAACATCTCGTGATAAAACATTCGACAACCTCAACGACAGACATCCTGCGTACACTGAAAAATTCCAAATCCCATCGAAACACCTCGAAACCAGTGTGGACGCTGCGACTCACTGAACCGTCGCCGAAGCTCCAGTGTGAAGGGAGCTTAAACGCGCTTTTCCGTACCCTTTTTCTGATCCAGGAACGCCTCTGGTGGCACTACCACATCCGAACGCGTCCCTTGGAATCAAACAGTGTTCCCTCAGAGGATCATATTAATACCTGAAAAATCCCAGTAACCTGTCGCACGCGTTTCGAATAAATTCCCGCGCGAAGGTATCCCCCACGCGCGTGGGAGTATCAGTAACCAAGCGTTATCTGCTCGATAAGCAGCGAGAACGTTGCTCGTAAGTATTCCCAGCGGCAGCCTATTTTCGTTATTCCCGTTCCAATAACGAGCCACGGATATATACGTCCCGTCGACGATCAGTGATTTCGATGATGATTTGTCGTTAGGATCTCCTGTACGGAAAGCTGCACGGAATTTCCAAAAACTCGCCGTAAACAGCACGGTAACATTACCTGGGTATATCACGCTCACCGATTCGCACGACCACACGCGTGCACCGTATCGCGTTGGCCCCTCCCCCTCCGCCCCTCGCGGCGCCGAAGCACCGTCCCCCACCACCGTGGAAACTTTTACCCAGTCCCCTGGCCCCCCGCTGCCACGCCGCTGACAACAGGCAGCCTATCAATGTGGCTGCTATTCATACCGCGCATCTCGGCTCACGCAGCCGCGCTGTTGCCACGTCCCCGCCGCTCGGTAGGTACTTTCTTGTCCAGCTCTCGGTTCGATCTCACCTTTGCGAAATTCTCGGGTGCCTTCTTTTCCTACATTCGATTCTACCCTCAATTCATTCGAAGATAATATGGGATTTGTATGAAATAGCTTGGGAATAATTGATTAAATTTAACTTTCGTTTTGGAACTGCAGCAATTTGATTAACATTTACTAAGTATTTTCTTTAACTCTTCCTTTATTACAATATACAATCCTTAAACTTATCAGTGCTCCCAGTTTATAAGAAAGATACATTTTAACCCTTTGCGGACGAAGATTCGAAATAGACAAAATCAATCACTTGAACAAAAAATAGGAAACTACGTACCGAACTCTTGACGTTTCAGTAACCGAATCATTCGTTTGCTATTCGGTGCTCCAAATATGAAAATTCGTCCGCAAAGGGTTAAAATAAAAATTCTCTGGACCCCCACTAATTTATCTACGAGCCGCCACTGTGCTATTCCTGTTTCTTTCGTTCGCCAACAGTGGCGTAGAAATTTCAGCGTGACTCGCGCGGGAGTGTAGGCAGCAGTCGAACGAGGCATAAAGCAAACAGTCTGTTTTGTTGGCCGCAGTTATCTCTCCGAGAGCAAAACACGGGGCACGTGTTTGAACTTGTTCGCCGGACGATCCGACAACGCCGCCGCTCGTTCAAAATAGCACTCCCAGCTGGCGGCTTTCGCTTATCGCCCGATAGGTTCCCGGCTCGAACGGGATCGCTCGATCACGCCGAGAATTCGATCCGATCGGCATGCTTCTCCGAATGAGAGATTCGATCGAGGAAATCGCGGGTTTTTCGTCGGCCGAGACACGGTACCGTTCGACACGGTCGATATTACGTGTCGCACCGGTTGCATCATCGGCATGAAAAGATGGCCGTTCCGTTCCGCGGACGCGCGTTACGCGACACTGCGCGAGTCAGCCCTTGAACTATTTTCTGCCCGACGCTGTCGTCCGCGTTGGCGGTAAGAACAATTATGCAAAAGATTCTAGCGGGTTTTCTTCGACCTGCTTTCGCGATCGGACACCCGTTATATAAAGAGAATAAAGGTTCGGACGGGAATCGAAAATTCGGATGGATTCCCGACGGCGGAACGACGGCTCGCCTGCCATCTACCGTTCGGTTAACGGAGTTCAGCCTCGAGGTCGACGATTGAAATAAGTCTGGGAGTAATTAGATTTTTTTGTGAATTTTGAATTTGATTGGGTCGTTTGGAATTGATAGGAGAATCGAGGTAATGGTAATTGTTAATTTATTGTTTTTCTTTTTAATTTATTGGGTTTTATTCTTTTGGAGTGTATTTAGTTATAAATGTAAATACGTAATGAATTTATTTTGTTGTAGGAATTAGTGGGGCGAGGATGAAAATTGGGATTGAGCGTGGACCGTGTCACTGAGTAGATGACATAGGAATTTCGACCGCAGGATTCCCGTGAGTCAGGCACAGTCAGACGTCACGCTTCTCTGAAGCAAGTCTGAGCAGGTTCAGTCGTGTCCGTGCCCGCTTGGTTTTTGACCGGTCGGTGTTACCAAGTGGCCCCTTGCAGGCTGCAATCCGGATGGTTTATTTGCAAATTCGTATTGTACTGTCTATGTACATATGGGTATCAGGGGGATTGTTTCTAAACACAATTGATTTCATGCTTGATTCTTTGAGAATTTAAATTAACATTAACTTTAAATTGTGGTAATTTGTTAACCAGGGATTATTATTAATGAATTATTATTTTTATAAAGTATATGTATACGGTATGTAAATAATATATGGATGGTTTGCATAGATACGCAAGGGTGGAAAGAAGAGGAATTTGTAATGGGAAATTAGAAGAAATTAATGAAGAGGGAATTTAATATTCGATGACGCCATCTGTGGTACGATGTACAAGTTGCAAAGATAAACAATAGAATTATGTAAGACAATAGATGTTGCATGGAATGCTTACGGTATTTTTTATTGTTCTGAATTACTGTAGTATTGTGTATTAAACTGTAAACTGTTTTGGTGAACTACTTTAGAATAAATAGATAGTTAATGTTATGCATATGAAGAATTAAATTATAAAAAATATGAATCGCGTATTATTGTATTGAAAAATTGTGTTATATTTCTTAATCGCTTCAAAAGTAAATGTAAACGAATTTTATATTAATTTAATGTACATATATATTTGAATAAACAGAATAGAAATTAGAAAACATTAGCTAAATTGTTTTTCCTGCCCCTTTATATAAATATTATCCATGGTATTTACTATAAAAACAACATAATAATCCTTCGTTCATACAATTTTCAATAAAATTAGTTTTCACACAAGAATATTACTTTCTACTTTAGATACAATTAAAAACCCGTAAGTACATAAGTAAGAATCATTAACCAAAGTCATTTCATTCTAAACTGTTGAC